TCGCATATCTTCTAGGGTTTTTACCAGATTTTAGTGATCGAAACGCTAAAAGTTTGCGAAACCAAGCGCCTTTGAAGCACATTTTGATTTTTGAAAATGCGACCAATAACAAGCGAGTTATTAGTCATAGAGTCGCTATTTTGAAATTATTTTTTTGTCAAATAACGCTTCATATAGACGAGGGAAACGCATAAAGTCCTCAAAAATTCGCATAAAACTCCGACTCTATGGACACTGTCGCATAACCAACAGGTTTTACAACCGATTTTATCGGCTGAAGCGCCGAAAGTTGTTAAAAGGGTATTTTAGGGCAAAAGTCAAATTGTACAACTGAAGTTTAAAGCCTAAGTGCCTCAGACCAACACTCAATCAGCGTCAACATAACCTTAAAACCATGTCAGGTTATCACCATCTACTTACCATTGCAGGCCGTAGCTAACAGCACTGCCTGTGGCGCCATCTGGCCGCTGACCGCACCACTAACACACAGATTACATTTTTGCAGTTCTTCTTCGTGATGCGGAAAAAGTTCGACCACGTTTCGACCCTTCACGTGATCCATCACGGCATCATGCCAATGTCGGTGTGGTTTGGGGTGAAGTTCACGCCAGGCGGCCACTCGACGTTCTTCGGCTTCCTCAACACGTTCGTGCACGTCGTCATGTATTCGTACTACCTGGTGGCGGCTTTAGGCGAGCGCTACCAGCGCTACCTGTGGTGGAAAAAGTACCTAACAGCCATCCAAATGGTAAGCTTGTGCCCGCGTTTTTACCGGCAAACGTTTCTCTTGATTGCCCCTGTCCGTCCTCAGGTGCAGTTCGTGTTGGTGATGGCGCACGCGTTCCAACTGCTCTTCATCGACTGCGACTACCCGAAAGCCTTCGTCTGGTTCATCGGAATGCATGCGCTCATGTTCTACTTTCTCTTCTCCAAGTTCTACAAGCAAACCTACAAGCAGCAGAAGAACCAAAATGGCGTCAAAGTGCGTACGTCACTGGGCCGTTGACAGTTCGGTTCACGTTCCGTTCGTTTCAGGTGCCGGCGTCGAAGTTCGGCAAAGTCGCGATCTGCTTTGCCGGCCAGAGCGAGCTGTACGACGACCACGCCCCCACCAAGCAACTGCGCAACTCCTACACGACGTCACGGCTGAAAAACCGCGCCTACGTCAACCGGACCGACGACTGATTCGCATCAAGAGGGCGCCTTCTAAGCACGTGCCTGGATTGGCCGGATTTGTGTTCTTGACAAATTGTGGACAGTTTATCGAGTTGCGCACATCACTTTTACAGGAACGTGGCTGCAGGTTTCTTTGTTACCAACCAATCACCCCCCGCCACGTTCCCAGACAGTTCTTTTGCGTGTAAATATCGTGGATGGGTTTTTAGCAATTTTTGGTACAAACTGTGTATGGAAGGGACATAAATAAAAAAATTAAAAAAAACACCGACTAAATTTTATTTTTCTTTTAAGGGGGGGGGGGTAAAACCAAGTCAAAAACACAAAAATACTGAACTCTATTGCACACGCTTTGGAGGGCGGTGGGACGATAAAGTGGGGTCGGCTGGGGGCCGGCCACGCCCAGTGGCGCCCGTCCCACGACGGCCGCGCCCTCTTTTGGTGCCCTCGTGCGCCGAATCGCCCGTTTGAAAGTGCTCGTCAGTCATTTGGAACTGACAGGATAAACGTCAACAGTTGTCAATCGGCTTTGAAACGCGCGCACGCATGCGGTGAGCAGCCGCACACACCCATTTAGAGGCTGCTCACCGCATGCGTGCGCAGCACAGCTGCACGACTAAAACTGTGCAGGATTAACTAACCTCATTCGGGCAATTTTCCTTTTCCTCCCCATCACCGGCCGGCCCATCTTCACCCAGAACTTCTTTCGTTTGCTTCTGGCGCTGTTGCTGTTTGCTGTTGTTCTGTTTCGAGCGGGCGGCATGATGACTTGGGGAGGCTTGAGTGATAATGCGCACCTGCACCAATTTTTACAAAATTTCCAGTTGTACAACGAATTGTACAAACATACCACGTTGCCTACAGCCTTGGTGCGTCCCTCTCGGAACACCATTCGCTGGCCGGCCGTTACGTATTCCGGATGTTTGATGAACCGGAAGTGAATCAGCGCCTTGTCACCAGTGCGCAGGCACTCCTTCGACATGGAAATTATGCTGGCCGTCTGTCTGATGCTGCCGCAATGTACTGAAAACAAGGGTCAAATTCAGTCGTCCAATAGGTAAACATAATTTAGAGGTTTTTTAAATAATGTACAGTTGATCGTACAATCGTCTGAAAATGACAACCCTGCACAAGGACAAATGTACTAAGTTAAAGTCTACAAAATTCAAAATTCTTTTAGCAAAACTTTTTTACATAAATAAATTTTTTGCCATTTGACTTCAAATTCCCTTAAACAATGTACAATTGATCGTGTACAAATGTACGAAATTTCGGCCTTGCTACTCGAAGCCCACCATTGTGAAATCAGTGAAACAATGTCTAATTTAAGATGGATTTTTAAATTGTACAACCGCCTAAAAATGACAACCCTGGACAAGTCGAAATGTACAAAGTGAAACTCAACAAAATTTAAATTCGATAAAACTTTGTTCACATAGAAAACCTTTCTGCAATTTAGGTTCCAATTTCTTTAACCATTGTACAATTGACCTTTTAAAATGTACAAAATTTAGACCCTCTTGTCACTCTAGCCGGACTACCATAGAACGAAAAATGTCCGCCACAAAACGCCCAAAAATAAGCTTTAATTGAGTCAATTTTAATTGTACATTAAGTACATTAAGTACATTGTACAAATAGTTGTACATTATAATACACTAAGAAGAATTGTACAATTATACTAGAAAAGGCTCAAATGCAAATTATACACAAATGTCATTGCTCCGTCTGCAAGACCAAAAATTGCTGTTTAAAACGTTTTTTATATGTACAAACCAATGAAAATGACAACCCTGGAGAAACAAAAAGTACATAGTCAAACTTCATTTCAATTCAACAAAATTTCATTGAATTGAGTTATTATTATAATGAAGTCTTTTGCCTTTGGTTGCCAAGTTCTATAAATAATGTACAGTTGATGTTATCAAATGTACAAAGTTTAGTGTCTGTTCTGCCGTGGAGGATTATGTCAAATTTTGTACAAAAGTGCCATTAATTGATTGCGCGTTTAGGCTCATTTTATGCAGGCCGTATTATGTTTAATGCAATTGGTGTTTTATCATTTTACAAATACAGTTTCAAATTGTACTAGATTTGTACAATACGCAACTAAGCAAAAATTACCGCTAGTTTCTGGTTCAAATGTACGAAATTTAAGATTTTCAAGTAGTCAGTAAAAAATTTTACAAGCGAAAATGTGCGATATTCAAAAGGCCAATTGTACATTGTACAATTGTTCCAAACTTGTTACGACTTGTACAATCGTCCGAAGCGTTGTACTATTGACCTGTGCAAATTCTATTAAATGTTTTAGCTATAAAAGAGTACAATATGTTAAAATTTCCGTAAAAAATTGTAGAACTGGAATTTGCGAAACACCTTTTGAATTTGACTGTGAAACTGTCAACCCTGCCGGTGTGAAGATACACAGTTGTACAATCGCCTAAAAATGGAAACTTTGGGCAATAAAAAGTCAAATTTCAATTCACATTTTTGCAGTAGAAAAAGGTGCAATGTGTTGACATTTACTTAAAAATTGTACTACTAACATTTAAAATTGACACTTAATTGTACAATACACAGAAAATGTGTCAAAAAATTATTGCAATTTTCGGGTCATTTTCAAAACCATAGATAACGCAGTTTGAAAATTTTTAAAAAGGTGTACAATTAATTTCAAATTGTACTACGTTTGTACATTTAGCAAATATGCAATATTTACCGCCAGTTTTCGATAGAAATGTACAAAACTAAAGTATACGCCACAAACCATTGAATCTTTAAAATAATTTCCAACTTTTGAAAAATAAATCAATACTCAATGAAAAACTTGGACTATACAAATACAGATCACAAATGACGTAAAAACTTTGATCACGAAGAGCAATTAACTGCAAATTAGCATGTTAAACGGCCAACCCTGCCGGTATGACGTCAGTCGCGAGTAACTCATTGTATTTGTGCGCAAAAAAATAAATTGTACAATCGAATGAAAGGTGTACATTAACAAAATGAACGTTTCGAAATTTTGAAAAACAAAGAAAAATGTCCAAAGTGAAGCAGTTCAGTTTTCAATGAACTGCTTACAAGAAAAGACTTGTACAATCGTCTGAAAACGACAATATTGAATAATTAAAATACAAATTCTATTAAGTCTTGGCAATAAAAAAGGTGGAATGTTACAAAACACGGCATTTTGTACAGGCCCTATTCAATTTTCAATATGTACTACATTAGTACATTCAGCAAATATAAAAAATGTATGACGGCTTTTCGACAAGTTCGGCTAAAACGCCTGAAACAAGGAAAAATAAATTCCAAAATATAAATATGACAGAGGTTGTACAGTGAATTCAATTAGTCAACCGAAAAATTGTACAAAATCCTCAAAATGCCTTCAGGCAAGTACACTATTATTGGGCCAAAGATCTAAAAAGTTGTACAATCGATTGAAACTGGGAACCCTGGCAAATAAAAATGCAAATTCGAATTCATGTTTTTGTAGGAACCAAAGTGCAATGTGTTGCAAAAATGTACTGACAAAACTGTACAACTGGCATTTTCTAAATACCTTCGAACATGTACTTTTAATGTCCCGAATTTCTTAAGAGTTGTACAATCGTCCCAAAATGGAAAATTTGGACAATAAAAATACTAATTCAATCAAATGTTTTTGAAAAAAAAGATGCAATGTGTTTATTGAAATTTACTTAAAAATTGTACTATTCACATTTCGATTGAAACCAAATTGTACAATACACAAAAAAGTCAAACTGTCCCTAAGTCTTCGGTATCAATTATACAAGCTAAAACTGTCCAGGCTTCAAAATGCCTTCAACATTGTACAATTGCTCCAAACTTGTTAAAACTTGTAGAATCGTCTGAAAAATTGTACTATTCACTTGTACAAATTGTATTAAATGTTTTAGTAATAAAAAAGTGCAGTGTTAAAATTTCCTTTCCGAGAAAATCGTACAACTGGCATTTTCAAAACACCTTGTGAATTTGCATGTTAAACTGCTAACCCTGCCGGTATGACGTCATTTGCGAGTAGATCTCGGAAAATCGCCACATTGAACAATTAAAATACAAATTCCATTAAAAGTTTTTGCACAATAAAAAAAATGCAATCGGTTGGACTTTTACAAATACAATTGTACAAAACACGGCATTTTGAACAGGTCTTATTCCAGTGTCTAACTGTACCACATTAGTACATTCAGCAAATATCCGAAATTTATGCCGCTTTTTCGACAAATGGTTGACAAACAGTTAAGTTCTCAATAAAAAGCAGCCCATAAATAAATTGAAAAGTTGTACAAAATCGTCAAAATGCCTTTACCAGTGTACACAATTAATGTTCCAAACCTCTACAAAGTTGTACAACCGCCTAAAAATGGCAACGCTGGCGAAAAAAAGGCCAAACTTTGATTCATGTTTTCCAGCAGGAAAAAGGGCAATGTAATTGACATTGACGTTGACATTTACTTGAAAAACCTTACTGTTGCCACTTTTTTAAATTAACATTTTTTTGCCGCATCTTCAAACAATACAAAATAGTGTTGGTGATTTTTGTAAATTTGTACATTTTATTTCAAGTTGTACTATGTTTGTACATTTAAAAAATATGCAAAGTGGTACTGCCAGGTTTTGATAGAAACGCACAAAATTCAAGTATTCGCCACGAACTATTGAATCTCTAAAACAGTTTCCAAGACAGGCGCAAACAAATCGAAATCAACGTTTCGGACCCAAAACTGAAAAATAAATTAATATTCTTTCAATGGAAAACTGGCACAATAAAATTGCAGACCAGAACCGACCGCAAAAATATTTAAAATTAGCGCATTTGCATGTCAAACTGCCAACGTTGCCGGTATGACGTCATTCGCGAGTAACTCCACTCATTGCATTTGTGCGCAAAAAAATTAAAATTTCGATTGTTCATTAAAAGAAAACTCACCCATCGCCTGATACCGTGAACTAATCGTTGTCGGATGGTGCAAAACGAGAATTTCGCCCTCAAACTCCCAGCAGGACTGCGGATTCAATGTGGGCGAAACCATCACCATTCCCTTGCGGATCTGCGACCTTTTCACCTAGAAAATTCACTGGACTAAATAATTGTACAATTTTTCTCACCCTTGTACATGCGTACCTTTTTCAGGGCGAAACTGGCCGTTTGACCTGCGCGCACTTCCTTAACGGGCATCCGCTTCCGGTGGATACTTTTGACAGCGATTGGCACAAATCGGCCGAGCGGATCCGGTCCCAGCATCAAAATGTCATTCAGACGAATCACGCCCTTTAGGGTCGTCCCGGACACCACTGTGCCCACCCCCTATATCAAAAAAAAAAAAAAAGAAGAAGAAAAATTAGGTTAGATTAATTAAAAAACTTAAAAAAATGACAGTGACTTACCGGAACCGAGTAAGTGTCATCGATCTGAAACTCCGCCGGCTCATTTTCCTGATACTCCATCTTGGTGGTGAGCAGATTGAGGAACATTTTCAGCATCGGCAGGTTTTCGCCTGTCACATTTGACACTTGGAAGATCGGACATAACCTGAAAACGACGAAAACTGTGGAAAATCTTCGGGAAATGCTGCAGAAGAAAATCGGTACCGTTCGGAGACGAAATTGGTCGCACTCAACACTACGTCATCCTGCGTCTTGACCATGACGGGCACTTTGCGACAGCCGGGCGATTTGAGGATGCGCACCAGCATTTTGAGGTTATCCTGAAGCACATTGGCTGGACACATGTCAATTTTCGTGACGACAACAAAAACTGGCACTGACAAGGCGAGAGCCAAACCCAAGTGTTCTTTAGTCATGCCGATGATGCCAGCGTTGGCCCCGACCTGAAAAATGAAGTTTAGCCACTGAGGATGCCCGCCCGTCATGGGGACGAAACGTTTTGCCCAAGCGAAAATTCCCGAGACTCACCATCAGCATTCCAAAGTCGGGCGCATGCCCAGTCATGCCAAAAACGGTCGTTTTCAAATATCGCTCATGCCCGGCCAGGTCAATGAACGTGATCACTTTCGAACTTTTTTCGCAAATTTTCACCCAGTCGAGCGCGCCATGTTCCGGCTTGTTCACCACATTGCCTGCAATCAATCGGGATTTTGCTCAGAGCGCGCCTTTGAAAAG